AGATACAATTTTTAAGGAATTCATGTTTTCGAAACATAAAGGCATTTCTATATTTGAAAAAAAAAATATCATGTCTTAGAGAACTAATTAATTGAAAAACAAAAGTACTTAATCTATAATAATAAAAATCATAAACAAGTAGTTGATGAGTCATTCAGAAGTTTATTCTAGAGACGAGTTGATTGTACTTCTGAATGTACTTCTTTCACCAAGCATTTGGGATGGTGGTCCCTTTTGGTACTTTTGTTTTACAATTGTAAGTACTAATTTGACCACCATCCCAAATGCTTGGTGAAAGAAATACATTCAGAAGTATAATCAACTCGTTTCTAGAATGAACTCCTGAATGACTTAACTACTTGTTTATGATTTTCATTATTATGGATTAAGTACTTTAGTTTTTTTTTAATTACTCAGCTTTTTTTTGTATTTTTTGTTCTATTCATCGACCGCCCTACCCGGACGCCAAATCAATTGGTTTACATTCAATTCATAAACTTCTTTTTAGATCGATAGATTCAAAAATAAAAAAAAATTATCGAATCATAGAAAGTTAGTCTCTACACATATATTGTAGTGTTTATCAATATATTACATATTTATAATCAACCTTGTTGGTGGTATTAAACAGAAAAACAAATAGAAAAAATCTTCATAAAAATGATCGCTAAGTTATCTTTTAAACTAAATTCTGAAAGCAATTTAAATTACACCAACATCAGAAGAAGATTAATTACAACTTTGAAATAAGTTGAAATAAAATATACTATGTTTTATGAATTCCACCGCTTAGTTCATTATAACTGTATAATTCATTATATATTCCAAGTTGGAACTTAAAGCATTTATCAAAACTGAAGCAACTAATAAATTTTCATATTTGACACGTTTCGAGGTGTGGAAACTTTTTATTTCTCTATTTTAAGCAGGTGAAATAAATGAATAGTGTTATGATACTTATAATAGAAATTGCAATTTTTTGTGTATATGATATTCTTCAATTGGTATAAAAGTTAAAACGTGATTATAAATGATTAAATATTTATTAGTATTAACTAATTATATTATTACTTCTAATTTCCCAAAAATGGTTTCGATAGAAAATCCGATTTGCTTGTTTTATGTTTACATATTTTTTCAAGTCATTTTGATTCGTTTGACACCATGATTGGAGAAAGTTTTTGTATAAAGTGAGTCAAAATTTGATTATTCCTCAAAATTTTTTCAAAAAACGACTACACCAATTTAATTAATTAATGTCTTTTCAATCTATAAGTGCTTTGGTGAAAAGTTGCAGGATGTCCATTGTCTTAATAATCATCTTGAAATATTATTGACCTTTAAAAAGTGGTTTAATAACATTTCTATTGGAAATTGCATAGATTAGGTTTTAATAAAAAGCAGAAACTTAAAAAAAAGTTAAAATGTTATCGTAACAACTTTCAAAGTAAAGCCTAATTTTAATTCCTATTGATTATGTTAATTCCAATAAGGCCTAGTTTTGGGTACCAATGAGCGTTTGAAACTTCTGGAGCACAAATTCCTTATTAACTTTTTTTTAATATATATTACCATCATTTTCAATAATCAGCAATCTTATTTACTGGATCTGGATAAAACATTTTCGTACATGTTTCGGAAAGCATGGCATAACCTTTTGCGCTTTGTGGAAGTTCGTTAGAATCCAATTCTTTCCCCGCCTAGATAAGAGTTGTAGTATAATAAAAGGAGCAGATTACTTTATTCATTGTTCGTTTGCCTTTGTAAGCGAATCTTGCAAGGTTTTTAGTGGCTCCCTTAGGTACGCTAAAACATGAGTTTTAGACTGTGTGTTTCTCTTAATTATATCGCATTCGTACTCAAAAGCTTGCTCGGGCATTTAGACAAGTGCCTCTATTCTAATCTGATTTCAAATAATTAAAATTATCATAGCTAACTAATACGTTTGAAAATATTGGTAATAGGGCATAAATTCATATATTCAGTTGTTTAGCATTTTGCGTGTATTTTCATTGGAACGGTTTATAGGTTAATATAAGCAGTACATAACTTTTCAAACTTTCAATGTTTGAGAACTTTGTAACAGAGAAATATATGTTTAACATGATTGCAGACAAAAAAGTTTTTTTTTCACTATGGGTCAAACAATATAATACTTTTCCACACACCGAGAATTCCTGGCTCCAAATTTCAATCAATTTTTCTTTCCCAAATCGTTTAAAAATCTTTTATTGCGGTGCGTGGCTAGTTATTTTGAATTCAAATAAGGTTCGACCTCTTTCGTGATAAAATTCGTAATAAAAAGTGATGTTTACGGTTTGTTTCCTCAACTGCGTGCTTTCATTTCATCACAGATACATAAACCTGCACAAACCGTAATAAAAAACGAAAAAATATCGAGAAAGTTAACGCTACAGATTTATATGTAAAATCTTTCATGTGTCGAGATAGGACATGGTAACCAGTAAACAAACTATTGAGGTAAAATATATACCAGATATATATTTATTTTAATCTTATGATATACAGATTGCATGCAGTATTTTTATTCTTAACCGATAGAAAATAGATTATATCTACATATTATTTAACACTTTTGCTACGAGAAGATATTCGTATGAGCGGATGTCATCCATGGACGACATTCGTGGCGAAAGGGTTGAGAGCAGGTAGAAAATACCAAATAGAAAAGAAAATTTGAATAAACTTTTTTCTTCGTGTCTGAACATCAATCACAATTATATATGTTATTATTATATGTTAAAGTATACTTTTGTAACAATTAGATCTAAGATTATAAAAAGTGTAATTTGGAGTGCAATATAGTGGTTAAACATTCTAAACTATATTCTAAACTGATATGATTTTTATCCAATCTAATTCTGATGTTATATATTTTGCAAAAAATCGACAAGATATTTGCTATTTACTATATAATTTAGTTTCTAGTAAAAATCTGACATCACTACTCTTGATACCAAGCTGGCCGAGGTGTTGCTATCGAGCCCAGAACCAGTGGATGCTAGATTCATTTAAATCCAATATAATACATTTTTATAATACTACCTGAACTACATTGTGTGAAAATTTGTAACAAAACTTTAGATGAACAGTTTGCACTGTATTTACTCCAGATTGCTGACATCGTAGTGTAAATGAGGTCATTTCTTACGGACTCAGCAATCGTATTTCTTGGACTTAGAGATAGTAACTTACAAGAAAAGCGTACAAAGAATTTTATTGTTCAAGTTCTATATAATTTTGAATTATATTTTTTATTTGTTGATATTGATTTTCGAGGAATCATCATAAATTAGTAGTTGGTTTCATAACTTAGCTTCAAGCAATAAGATCATAGAAAAAACTACAATTGGGTAAGAGTTTACAATTGTAATATTATTGCCATATCAAATGTAATATTTTACTTAGATAATTAGTTCAAAACTGGTAATTTTTTTTAAATAAGCGCATAAATTTATTTTTATCTGATTTAATGCAGATGGTTGGAAGAACAGCAGAGATGAATATTTATTTTTGACTATGTTTTAATTTTTTTAGTGGTATTATATATTTATTAATAATGTTTATTATATATATATATATATATATATATATATACGAGTATATATACATAAACATCTGATCTAATATTCTTTGAATGCGAAAACCTGTTTGCATACAAACAACATCCAAGCTGGAAGAAAATTAATATGCAGTAAACAGTTACGTATATGCAACATACATGTGCGCACCGAATATCCATATTTATAATATTAAGATCATTGTATCTAAAATTTAGGAATAATTAAATAAATGTTGTTAGCAAAATACAAAATAGTTTATTTTAATTTCTAGTAATTTTTGTAATACTAGAAAATTCTACACTAAAAATGTGTCTAAAATACAATCTGACTCTATGTAATTTTTCCTTAATGGCATATGTGTCCAGTAAGACTAATTCCCAATGTTGTTCGAGTAGTTTTGTACTATCCCAAAGAAGATTATCAATTCCGTATAAATTATTCCAGCAATTATCAACTTAATCGACAAAATCTATGAAGGCAGTAATATGTAATATATATTGACTAAATACTCATCAGTACACAATTAGTCTACGTACAATTCTGTGCATAAACTGACATTAAATTCATAAGCTGCAATTTGCCATATCAAATATACACGCCAATGCAATGGCAATGTACGTAATAGATAACAGTTTATGCTAACAAGTTGTTATTGCAAATAGGACGCATAAAATTATTGTACTCTACTGTTGAACACAGGCAGAGAAATATATATTTAATAAGATATAAGGAAAATGTGTTAAAAATACTTTTTTGATAGTAAAAAATCCTAGCAAATTGGTGAATTAATTTGTGTTTCAAGTGATATTTATAACTGTGCAAAATGTTATTGGTAATAAAACAAACATCTTTATCCAAAAATGTAACGAGAAAAAATTTGATAAGGAAAATATCATGCGCAGCCATCAACTCTGCAGAAGTACAGCCTATGTATGCAACTGTAAGTTTTGAATTATTCTCATATTATATATAAAAGTCAACACACAATTATTATTTATTGTGGGTAATGCTGATAATAAGAAGTTATTTGAATAAAAGAAAGTTCCATGTCCACCATAGTAAATCTACTTGCAGAGGCATTACTGTAGGTGTGCCTCAAGGAAGTATTCCAGGACCAATTCTATTTTCTATTTTTACATATTTAGGAATTAATTTTTAATTTGTCTATAATATTCATATCACTCAAATTAAACTAATTATTCAGATATTACATAGAAATTTGAACCAAATTTCAAAATAAAACATAGTCTATATTCTCTACTAAGATTATTCCAATATTCATCTTAACTTTAAACATTATATAAAACTATCATTCTATGAGTTTGATCTGTGAATTATTATATGTTTATTGTGTACAAAATTGAACTTTTAATAAACATAAAATCACGATTGTAGACAAATGATGACTCTCCAAAAATGCCAGCTGGCTGGGAGTTAGCTTTACCATACAGCAAAGTTCCTGGCCCAAAATCCATACCCGTACTGGGCATAATGCACCACTTTTTCCCAGGAGGTAATATCAAGATGCTTCATAAATGCCACTATTATATACTTTAAACACTCTTAAAATATAGGAAAGTACGGTAATATGAATTTCCGTGAACGCTACACTAAAATGAACCAAGAATACGGCGATTTAGTGAGACTCAAAGGATTTGATGGCAAAGAAGATATATGTGTTAGTTTCAATCCGGATCATTTCGAAACGGTTGTATTTTATTTTAAAGTTTTACAAAAATGTGGAGAGCTTTATGAAAAGTCTCATTTGAAATATCATTGCAGATCTTCAGAAACGATGGCGCCACGCCAAGAAGGAATATATTCGACACGCTACGATATTACAGAACAAAAATCAATCCTGAAATATATAAGGATAATATTGGAGTACTGATCGAGTAAAATATATAACATTATTATTACTATATGCATATATAGTATGGGTTATTGTATAAATATTATGTTGCAGAAACGGAGAAAAATGGAAGAAATTGAGATCCATGGTGAATCCAGTTTTAATGCAACCTAGAGTTTCAAAACAATATGTCAAGTCTGTAGAAGGAATTGTTGACGAGTTTATAACGAGGTACGATAAAATAAGTTTACGACAAGGTTTTCTATTATTCTAAGAAATTCATAAACGTTCTTAGAAATTTCTCACTCCTATTAGTTAATGAGCTCTTTAGTTCGTCAAGTTTATATGAAAACTCATTACCTATTATAATTGCGTTTAACTCTATAATTAAAAGAATTTTATTTCAAAAGTTTTACATAAAAATTTTGTATTATAAAAGTATAATTGAAAATATAAATATTAATAATTCAAGAGCTCTCAAATCAATTATGGTGGTACTAGACATCAATGTCAATCATCAATTTTTTTTTTTGAATCTATTGTTCAACTTACAAAAAAGTGTAGATTTATGAGAATATTGCTTGAATGGTCGAGAAATAACGTATTAAACACAAGGTGTAAGATATTATTTAATTTTACGGAATAAAATGTCAATAATCCTTTGTAACTATGATCGTTACATTTCCAGGACACTAAGGCTTCGTGATAAAAATCTAGAAACTCCAGCAAATTTTTTAAACGAGCTAAATCGATGGGCTCTCGAATCGATTACTTGCATAGCTCTGGACACGCGTCTGGGATGTTTGAGGGATGACCTGGCACCAGACTCGGAGCCACAAAGAATGCTAAAAGCTGTCCATGAATTCTTTGCCTTGACACACGCTTTGGAGTTCAAGCCGCACCCTTGGAAAACGATCAAGACTCCCGGATTTTATAGGCTTATGGAAGTTTTCCAAATAATAAATGAGTGAGTACGACTCTCTTGTTTTTGCAGTGAATAATAAAATATTAATATAATATGATGGTTTGATTAAAAAATTTAAACATGATTGTACGTGGAAAAAATAAAATATATGGTGTTGTTCAAAAAAATTTTGAGCAGTAAAATACTTCTTGGAAAACGATAAAGAGTTCAGAGTTTTATAAGCTTACAGAAGTTATTTAAGTAATAGGTAGGTAAATACGATATATTTTTTCATAAGATTTACAAAAATTCTATATAATTATACACAAAACAATATTTATGAAGTTGTTTATTTGAATGACAACCAATAATAATTGTTGTTGTAATGTTAACCCTTCGGACTCGGATGCCGCCGCTTCGGCATCAAAATACCTCTAAATCTCGCAATTCGCGAGTGCATAGGGTTTATAATTAATATCATATAATAATTTAAATAAAAAAATAAAAATAACTATATCAAATTGTACTGATAAATATCTGAGAAATTATTTATCTAAATATTTATATCAAACAATTATTTAAAACTTTAAATTCTTAAAATTGACCGCAGACTAAATATATATAATATTATTTTATTTTAAATTATATCCATTTATTAACGATTATCAGGTTATTATAAGTGCTTAAGTAATTTAAAAAAAGTTACGAAAATTTAGATTTAGGTATTTTGATTTGTCTAATTATTGACAGAAACTTAAATTAAAAGAAAAGGTTTCGTTCTTTGGAGTAGATTGCTTTACTTTTTTTCATTTATATTGTCAATTTGAGTTGAAGACGTATTTACCTAGACTACATATTTTATTTGAATTGTAGCTGATTGAAAACAATTAATTTTATTCAATACCTAATGAATGAAATAATAGGTTCTGAGTTTTTATTCAAACAAATTTTCTAAATATTGCATAAAATAAATGAATTTATAGTAGCTTCTAGAATTTTATTTAAATAAATTGCATTATAAGAAAAAATATTGGATAATATTCAAATTGACAAAAAATATCAATTCTCAAGTTCTTAGTCATATCTAACAAGAAACGAATTCAATAAAACATAATGGTCTTCATTGTTGTAGTTGATGGTCTTCATTGATGTAGTTTAAATTTGAAATTATACTTTTTGTTTCAGTTTATCTCTGCAAAAAGTTGAAGAAGCTATGGAACGTATGAAAAATGAGCCTGTGCAAGATGACAGAGAGCAGAGCATTTTACAAAAATTGATCAAAATCAACCGAAACGTGGCAGTTGTGGTTGCTATGGACCTTCTTCTGGCAGGCGTAGACACGGTAATACAAAACAATAATTATCAACAGACAATCACAAAATATTTACACCTTTAGTACTATTATTCTTATATGCAATGATAATTTCGAAGTGCACTGCACATTCTCACTTCTCTCGAGTTTATCTTAAATCTTGATTGTCGAGAGCGCTCTTATTCACTTCCATATATTTGCTCCAAGTATTCTGTGCCACTTGATGATAATAGTGATCTTAACTTACACCTTTTTGTGCTATTTGTTTGCATTGCGAGCGAAGTTGCAAGGCTACAAACACGCTTTAGAATTTGTAAAGAGCCCATTGTAGTCAAATATCAATGTTGAGGTGCGAGGAGGAAAAATAAATGCACCTGTATATCTACATATTCACTTCAACTTAGCAAGAACAATTGTTTATTAAAATCGGGATGTTTATGCAACTTGTCTTTAGGAGAAATGCCAATTACTCTAGTAATTCATTATTGAAATATTCATTGTAGAATCGTAATATCAAATTGTAACTAAATTCTAGTATATTTGACTAATACACTAAATAAAGCAATATCAATTTCATTAAATCCATGTTTGCTTAAGAACGCCCAAGCTTATAAATAAACAAAACGAATTTACCGAAGACAAACAAATACTCCTAATTCAATCCTAACCCCACTGTCACCTCTTGTTTGATGGTAACCATTAACTATTTTAGACATCATACACTACGTCCATTTTGCTGTATCATCTGAGCAAACATCAGAGAGCGCAAGATAAGCTAAGGGAGGAACTCAGAGGTATATTGCCCGAGAGGCATTCCAAATTAAAGGACAATTCGTTCGATAGAATCCCGTACCTGAGGGCCTGCTTGAAGGAATCGACTAGGATCACCCCGGTCGGGGTCGCTAATCTCCGGACGACTCAAAGGGATATCGTGCTTTCAGGATACAGAATACCGAAAGGGGTGAGATTGTAGTTATTGCTCAATTTAATAGATCGGTAAAAATAGATTTCAGTTTTTAATAGAAGTCATAAATTCTAAAATAAACCTACGACATTGAGCCTTGATATTGCTATTATGTAATATTGGCTGAACAAAATATATTATTAGAAGTTCATAAGAACTCATAAGAAAATTTCATTTTATTGATATTGACAAATTAGCTTGAATTTTCAATATTTACTTTAATTTGTTCAATTATATGATTCAGATATTGTTAGTTATAGCTCGATGTAATGAATCGCTAAATATATATTTGAGCTATTAATAAAAAGTAATAAATTGGAAAATAAACTTCAGAAATTTAAGTTTTGTATTGCCATTATCTGTCAGTATTATATTAAACAAAATTAACAGAAGTAAATTTATTAAACAAACATTTTAAACAAATTAATTTATATGAATCTAATATGCTCATTTAATGAAACTCAACAAGAACGATTTTAGGATACAGAATATCAAAAGGGGTGAGATTGTAGTTATTGCTCAATTTAATAGACCGATAAAAATAGATTTCAGTTTTTAATAGAAGTCATAAACTTGAAAATAAACCTACGGGATTGAACAGAACAGCTAAACCTTGATACTGTCAATGTGTGAATATTAGCTGAACAAAATATATTAATAGAAAGTAAAAGTATTTAAAAAACGTTAGGGGGTAGAAAATAATATATATACCTTGATATTGCCAATATGTGATTATTGGCTGAACAAAAAATATTAATAGAAGGTAAAAATATTTTAAAAAACCCTATGGGGTAGAAATTAAAATTTTATTTATATATATATATAAGATATGTTAATTTCATTTTATCAACGACATTATCTCAAGTTTTTTCACATTTACTTTGATTATATCAATATTATGATTTAGATCTAGTTTTTTATTGCTCAATTGAATGGATTACTAAATATATATTCAAACTTTTGATAGAAATAATAATTTGAGAAATAAACCTCAGAAATTGAAGTATATTGAACAAAATAAATTTGAGTAAGTTTATTAAACAAATATCTCAATTTAAAGGATCGCTAAATATACATTTGAGCTATTAATAAAAATAATAGATGGTAAAATAAACCTGAAAAATTGAAGTTTCGTATTGCCATTATTTGTAAATAGTATATTGAACAAAATAAATTGAAGTAAGTTTATTAAACAAACAAACTAAACAAATTAATTTAAACGAACTTAATATACTCACTTAATGAAACTCAACAATTACTTCTGTTAATTAGTTTTTTTTGGCTAAATTTTCCATTAATTAGTTGGTTTTTTTGCAGAAATGTAAATGTAAAATTGTTGATTCATGGTTTCGTCAAAATTTTCAATCAGTTTTAAAAAATCCAGAAACTTTTCTAATGATATTAGTAGGAAAACGTACTGAGTAGTTTTACTTAATAATCGGCCTGGCTGTTTCTTAGAAATTAATTGTTGATATTATTTTTACGATCTCTAAGTAATAAAATCTCTAAGTGTCTTTAAAAACATCCTAAAATATATATAGGCCCACAAAAATGGTTTAATTCTAAAAATTGATCCAACTTTCTATCGTCTTTTTCGACTGAGTCAAAAAATTAGACATATTAGAAAGTATTTACTAGATTTAAGTCATCAACTCTCTTTAAAAATTGAAATAACTAAAAATGAACTAACTGAAATAACTAAATAAAAATTCATTATTATAAGAAATTATTTTATAAGTTAATAGTTAAAATTATATAATTATCAATAAAATATTGTGAATATTATATCGAATGGGAAAACAACTATTGAGTTGTTTTTCCAACATGCCCCTTTAGTATACAATGTCCCTTCACGGCCGACAATTGTAAATTTCACAAATTTGTCCTTAACTGGACAGTTGTAAATAAAAGAGAAAGAAAAATAAAATGTAAATACTATGGTTAATAGATACATATTCTTGATAAAAATGCATCTATGATGAAATATAGAAGTGTGTAAATATCTTCAATAGTGAAAACCATATCGTAAGCCAAAATCGTTTGAATGCTTATTTATCTCTTATTTTTTAATACTATGTTACCTTGTTACTACTGTGATTCTTTTTACACAAACAAATTAATAGACTAAACGATAAGTCGATTACATACCGAATAAAAAAGTGCATTGCAAAAAATTCTCCTTTATGATGAAATATCTAAATTTAGAAGTAATTATCTAATATGTTCAATTTTCATCATTTCAGACTCATATGATTCTGTGCACGCAAATAGCAAGTGTCAGTCCAAGCCAACATGAGAGACCAAACGAATTTATTCCAGAACGTTGGCTAAGGCAAGACAAGAAGGGATTGGAAACTGATATGAGCAGTGATGGTAAATATAAAACAACAACCCAAAAAATTGAGAAAAACTATATTTGTTTACATGTGATTACTAACAGCAATCATTGTAATTGCAAAGTTTCAATAATTTGAAAAATGGAAAAACTTTTATCAATTGACCTTTTTAGAACATTTGATTCGAAAAATTCAAATCTTTATTTGCAAATTATTGAGAAATTTATATCTAATTTAAATAAAACTGTGGATCTTTTGAGACCAGTATTCAAGAAGTATGTGTGCATATGTGTTTTGTATCTAATTCCATCTTTTCCCAAATTGTTTCAATTTCGTATTGATTCACTTGTTAATCAATCTAGTGGCGGGCTGCCCGAATGCGAAAACTGCCAATCCGTTTAGCCAACTGACATTTGGTTTCGGTGTACGGAGCTGTATAGGCCAACGTATTTCCGAATTAGAAATCCACACTCTAATCGCAAAGCTTATCAGAAACCACAGAGTCGAATGGCATCACCCCGATCTGATGATAGAGAGCAAGACTTTAGAAACCCCGGCATCCTCTCTAAGATACAAGATTATAGAGCTAAACAATTAATATTGCTTAGCTTCGTAATGGGAAGAAAATTTATTGAATCTATGGATGCTGGTGCAGTTAATTTTGTAAAATAAAGTCGGTATGAAAACTTAAAATATTTATATTTATAAGCAAAATAAAAAAATGAGAAAAATGATGTGTGGAATTAAAATAAAATATAAGATATAGTAGGAATTGATGTTTTATAATAAGTGCTCAATATAACTATTTGTTAGTACAATTTGATTTTTATTTTTTATCTAAGCTTACTATTAGGTAAGTAGTTTTAAACTTAGGTAATAAAGATGAGTGATAAGCATTATAATTAAAATGACAAACTACAGAAAATAATGACGGTCACGTCGTGGCAAATACAGCCTAGAAACTGTGTCAAAACATATATATGTATTCGGAACAGTGACGCATAATAGATGCTGCATTATTACCGCACAATGGAGGTTTCGGGCGAACGCTAAATCCTAATTTCTCTCTCTCTCCATGTCCGTGCACAAAAGTTGTAAACCAGCAGCCAATGGTCATCATCACCAGAAAATTAGATTTCTAAATTTTGCTTCACAAAATGAAGTAACGACTCTTGAAACGTAGTGACAAATTTAGATCAAGGACTTAACTAAATTTATGGATAAATATATTTAACAAAGTTGTTTGGATGCGTAATTTGTGTCAGTAGCCTATTACGATATTTATTAATATAAAACTGTGTGCGCATAAAGTGGCTAGGATAGAGTTAGTGATCTCAGAATTATTGTAAAATTATATAGGCTTTCAAAAAGTGGTTTAATAAGAAAAATCATTAAAGTGTAGAATAATGAGAAGCACAGTTAGGGGAGCGTCCAATGATCACGTGAGCGAGTTTTTGAGGATTTTTAGATTCCCCTCCCCCTTGGTGATACATGGTGATGTTCAGAATTTCCCCCCTTCTCCCTTAAAACATCACGTGTATTTTTAGTTACTTGAAAACTGTAAAATTTTGATTTTTTTTTTGAAAATGTTTGAACTTTGAAAAAAATAGTTGAAAAATAAATACACGTGATATCTTATTATACCCCTTCCCTCCCCCACGTGATATTTCGTGACTTTTTGTCAAACCCCCCCTTCATCCTGAAAACCTCACGTGATTAATAGGCGCCCCATACGTCATATAAGTCTCATGCATTGTTTATATATTATTATAAATTTTGTACTGATCACTGCTGACAACTAAGCTTGAAAAAAATTAAATTTTTTCTCAAAAATATTGTAAAATTATATAGTGATGTACTCCAGAAAGTGTAGTTTTATAAAAAATCTTCAAATTTTAGAATAATGAGGAGCACAGTTAGGGCATATAAGTCTCATGCAACGTTATATATCATTCTAAATTTTGTACTGATCACTATTGACAACTAAGCATGAATAAAATTAATTTTCTTCCTTAAAAATAGTGTAAAATTATATAGGTCTTCAGAAAGTGTAGTAATTATGAAAATCATAAAAGTTTATCACAATAAAGTGCACTATTATGGCTTATGAGTCTCCTGCCTAGTGTAAATATAATTCTAAGCTTTTGTACTGATCACCGTTGACATCTGAGCTTGAATAAAATTAATTTCTATAACACAAAAAGAATGAAATTAGATAAACAAATTTAGTTAATGCGTTTACAGATTTAATAAATTTGAATGATATCAGTTGAAAATTGCATTGATTATAATTCAGTGTGATTAAACATTATTTTCAAAAGAAACAACTGCATATTTTATCGCATTGATTGAAGCTAATATTTTCACACATGACGGTAAAATCTTGCAACTTGTTTCAAGATGCCACTTTCACCTAGTTTTATTAACTATCGATAGGATAAGATATAGTAATCGTAAAAAAAACGAAAATGAATCGATTTGTACATATTCACGTTTTATAGATTTCTTGTGTATGTATGCTCGGATATAGTTTTTCGTAAGCATGGATCAACCGATTCTAATGATTCAAAAAGTATTTCACTTGTATCAACAAAATAAAAAAAGGTAATATTTTTAAAAAGGCAGGTTCATAGCAATAAAAAAAGTTTAAAGAACTGTCATTTGTCGTTGACAAATGATCTTTAGACATATATACATC